AATTCGAAGTTGCCTGACGAAATGGTTTCGTCATGCGTCAATGACGCAAGTTGCGTCATGCGTCACCCATCACTAGTTCTGATGTTGACGGACGACAATGAACTTTAAAGCAATAAGATTTGGCTATATTTAAAAGTTTTGAAAATTTTGAGAATATGAAATATAAAATTTAAACCCTCTAAATACAGGGTATAGTTAAACTCATACACCACGTAACTTTTTGAAGTTTAATTAAAATCAGAATTAGAGATGGTTTAACGTAAATATTTTTGGCTTAGGCATGAGGGGAGGAATAAACACATATATTCTCAAAAATATTTAATCAATCACATTAGTTAAACTTAATCACATGATTAATGAAGTTTATGCTATGCTGTGACTATAGTTGTTAGACGAAATCTTTTTTGCGTGATGACAAAAACAAAACTCTGACGAAAGGCGAAACTCCAAATTCTTCTGACGAAAGACGAAACCTAAACTTAAAATGATGAAACCTTATTCTCAAAAAGAAAAAAAACATAAAATGAAAATAATTGTTATTTTATTGGATTAGCATTTATAATTTATTACGAAATTACATGTATACTAGCAAAAATAAACCAGTTCATTTTTCTGGACAATGCTAGGGTTGTTAAAAGCCTTAGTACTCATGGAATAACACAAATAATGAATTAAAACATACTAGCACAAGTAAACACCAAGCGATTTCTGACTGGAACTAATATGTAATATACTAGTATAATACTCCCTTTAAACGATTCATTGACTTTATATAATAAAATTTTTGTAATTTTTATAAATTTCTTTTTGTTAGTTTGTTTTTTATACACATAATCTTATGATTTTGATCAACATTTATTTTTATATTCGTCTTTTATTAGTTTTGTCAGTTTTGTCACCTTTCGTTAGTAATACTTTAATTGACGAAAGACAAACTAGGTTTTGCGTTTCGTCAGTGCAAAACCTTGAGGTTTTGTCTAACAACTATAGCTATTATTGGCTTTTTAAATTCCCAGAGGACAGTTAACCAAGAGGGTAATGACGTTAACCTAATAATCAACTTTGAACGGCCTTAGGATAGGGTTAGAGAAAGGGCAAACTTATAGATAAAATTGCCTCCCCGGCATTTTATGTCAGTGCTTCAAAATAGATTTATACTGCTCTTTTTCATATTTTTTGCATTTTCTTTATTTTTTAACTTCGGGCTAATCTATGTAAACAAAGTTTCGTGATCCCGATTGGTTGATTTACACAAAAAAGTCACATGGGTACATGTCTTTTGTAATCCCACTCCAAACAGCATATATACTATACATTCATTGCATTCGTTCTGGTAAATGTATGTTCTATCCCAGGGAAAGTCTGATAAAGAGATAATTCACGTGGTTATTGTGATGTTATAATCCATGGCAGTAAATTACTAAATTTAGTTTTAAATTTTTACAAATTTTCGAATTTTTCAAATTTTCAAATTTCAAAATTTTAAGCTTTTAATTTTTTCAAATTTTCAAATTTCAATTTTTACAATTTTCAAAATTTAAAAATTTTAATTTTCAAAAAAATTGTGCATTGGCCCGCCCAAGTAAACTTGCATAACAACGTTGTGAGGGTGGTAACTGCTCAGGGACTACCAAAACATGGATCTCACAATACACACTAATTCTAATTCTATATAAAAACACTACTTTAGAGACTAAACCCTAGTAATAGCTGGCTATGAAAGAGGTGTGGAAGACCGGTACTGCTCACTTCACCGAAAGTTCATTAAACCGACATCACATAGGGTTAGCGGTTTATTAGTTGCAAGCACATATTGTACTTGCGTGATGTCGGCTAAGTGAGCTGTCGGTGAAAAGAATGTCGGCGAAGTAAGGCGTATCCGTGGAAGACTTGGTCCGAGTAATTAAGGTCAATAAGGCTCTAGTTGCTTTATTATGGATGCAAAAGGCATCGTATTTATTGTTTTATAGTAGTAAATACATAACTATGTTCGTTATGCTATGTTCGCGTTGATCACTATATACAAAGCACCAAATTCTCTAAATCTATTATGCATCTGATCTACTATGTGAGAAAAAATTCATCCCAAGCCACGGTTGACCCCTTCACAACTTACATACGTATGTACAACATAGTGCATAGATAAATCCACATGTACTTTGTTTCACTACGTTACAAATGCTTTGATATATTTTTCATATACTTTAATATAAGGGTAATTATTTTTGAATCCAGACAAAAATGCTATTACGTCATATATAAAACTGGTCGCACGTCCGTAATCTATGACAGGTTACACTACTAATATCGACTACTAGCGCCTTTTATCGTTATAACCACAAAAAAAATTCTACGTAGAGCTTGCGATTTTGCCCAAAACTGCCTTCAACGTTCTAATAAATATTGTTCGTACAATTTTATATACGTACAATGCATTAATCTCATACTAACACCTAATTTATAAGTTAATTGAAAAATTTTAGAAATTCAAAGGTTGCGTTTTCGATATTGAATTAATTAAAAACATAGCTATATAAAAAATTAAGGCATTTACTGTAATCCTTAAAAATAAATAGTGAATATCATATAAATGCTATAGCTTTAATAAATACCCTTTTGATACATAAGTTGGTAAAGGAAGAGAAGTAAATAAATAAGATTAAAGCATTCTTTATAGATTTAACACACTATTGTAGTAATAATTATATAATTTTAAATTTAAATTAGGATTTTTTCAAATTACTAAAATTACATGTTTATTTATCGCGATTATCAACTCTAAGAGATACAGTTGGATAGGTAATTTACATCAGGGACACGGAATAAATATTCGATTTACTTATGATTAAAAAATGAAAGTGCGATTTAAATGATGTAAACTGAGTATAAAAAAATATATGTATCTCATAAAAAAAACATCAATTTTTTAAATACTGCGCACGGCTAAGAAAATTTAAGGTTTGTAAGATCAATTCATGAAATAATAAATTTATATTGAGTTGATAAGTCTTTACATTCAGAAAACGCCAAGTTTTTGTTTACATAAATAAAGAATGAAATTTCTTTAATAGTTCAATAAAAATTCATTTGTGAAGGTAAATTTAGATATGCTTGGTTGAAAATAATAAGTTATTTAAGTTAATTAGATAAAAAACTAAAAGAAAGCTCATTATATAACAGTATCTATTATCATTTGATCGTGGAAAATCAGAAACTTTTCAATCATATCTTCCATATTACTGATTCTTTGCTTCTCTGCTTCTTTTTGTTCATTATATTTTGTGTATGAGATAATTATATTTTTCACCCCTCCAATCAATCCATCATTTTTCTTTTGGAAATTTCTACCATACAAAGTGTTGTCTACCAATAATTCAAAAGGTTCGAAAATGGACTCCATTGCTTTTCGGCGTAAATCTTTTCTTGACAAATCAAAAATTCCTGAAGCTTGAAAATTTAAAATGAAATAAATTAGTAAAATTACTTTTTTTATTTGTTAAATTTATAAATATATTTTTATATAAACCTTTTTTCCATTGTTTATAATGCTTTTGAATCATAATTTGAAGTTGCAACTTTACACCTTTTTTAAACGATTTGATTGTTTGTCGTCGTTTTGGATCCAATTTTTTATATGGAATACGAGAGAGAGAAGCTGATGGACCACTATATGAAAAATTAGATGAAGACATTTTTGTCGCTCTTGTCATTGTAGATGCAAACGAAAGACCTGAAGCAATAGACATTGGAGATGGGATTTAAGTTGAATTATCATATCGAATTGGGACAATATTTGTGGAAATGGGATTATCGGGAAAGCTGTCTTGTGAATCAGTAACATTATTTATTGAACTTAAAGATTCTTTTTTTGGGAGCGATAACTCAATGTCATTTATTGAACCTAAAGACGTCTTAATTTTGAGGGGTGATGCAACATCATTTATTGAGTCTAAAGAAGTTTTCTCTTTAAGCGATGACTCTTCATTTTCTATATCATTTTCTTTCAATACGCAGTTGTAAATTTTTGCATCTAAATGCTCTGATTTTTCAGATGATCTTGGATCGGCGAAATCCACAATTGTGGCATCTCCTATTCGATGAAGAAGATCCATAGATTGCTGTTGCATTTTTGCAATTCTCCGATTAGGTAAAATTGATTGGGATATTCCTGACCTAAGACATTTAATAAAGGCGTAAAGCTGAGCCAGTGTATCTAATATATATAATGCATATTCATATATTTATATATATATAACTTAGTTACAGTTTATTAAAGTTATATAAAATTTTTTAATATAGAAAACACATTTTTAAGCTTACCCATCATCCATTCACCAAGTGGTGTGTCTTGTTTTACGGGAAACATATAAAAAATTATTTCATTTTCTACGCCAGCGTCAGTATTAAATCCATTAAAATTAGTTCCTTCTACATAATCATTACAATTAATATTTGAATCCGTGTCACTGTCATTAATATCCTGTATCACATCAGTGCAATTCGGATTTACATCCCTGCAATTCGGATTTATATCGCTACAATTAATATTTTCTTCTAATTTTGTTTGCTCTGGATCTGTTTCATTATTTAATAAGGCAATCATAGTGTGATCTAAATTTGTTTGTTCTGATTCTTCATTATAATTTAGTAAGACAGATGGATTATCTTCATTTTCTTCCAAAATTGCCTGTAATAAAGTTTCATTGGTTGTTTCTGGTGGTAAACAATTTTTACCACTTAGTGATTCTACTTTCCAAACCAAACGCCTTAAGTTTTCCAGCATCACAAGAATTTAAATATTTTTATATTGTATTAGATATCTATGTCAAAATTATATTAATAAAAAAATAGTATTGTACCTCTTCATCTTTAAGAGAAGAATTGCCACCAATTCCATCACATATGGTTGATAATTCAACAGCAATATCATAAATAATCTGCTGCTTGAGTAATTCCACTACATGCTTCTCTTTTTCGTTAAGTATTTGATGACTGCCCTTTAAAAACAAATTAACATCATTAATTTCTTCATCATCGTCCAATGGTCCAGTGATAAAAATCATTTCCAAAATACGGAAATGGTTAAGCCTGCGATGATGCCTCTCAAATTAATAAGGAATAGCTGCGCAGCGCGTGACGCAGCGCAGAACCAGTACGATCATGCACAAGTTTCTAAAAGAAAACACAT